GAGATTTGAATCAGATTTGAGTCCTCATCTCAATTCCTGATCTCTCTCAACCTTCTCTCTACCACACCCCTCGAAACAAGCCGACCACAATTGATCTTCTTGGGCTGGGGATTGGAGCTGGTGGAGCCGTTACTGCTGGCTTCCTGGCTCTGTTCACTTCCATTGGAGGCGGGCTTGATGTTGCGGCGGCCAGTGGCGGAACTAGGAAATTAAGTTAGAGGGGGCACTTATTCATTACAATTTTTTATTTTTAAAAAACAAATCATGATCAACATTAAGATAATAATAATTTTATGAGCTAAATTTAAGAATAAGAAATTAAAAGTCATGATTAATAGGAACAAATAAAAATTCTATAATAGTGTGTAATAGCTCAGTGCGGGATGGTGATGTAAGTTTCTAATTTTAGCTGCGGAAAAAATTATGGATCAAAATTTCTAATTTTAGAAAATAAAAACACATCATTTATAGCACAAATTATTATAAAATCTATTTAATTTTTATTTGACATAAAATATTAAAGAGATGATATTGCTTATAAATGATGTGTTTTGAATTGAAATTATTACATAGTCTTATAGTGCCATATAGCGTTACCTATTTGATGCTCAAAAAAAAATGAGAAATCACAAATCACACTAAGTAGTTTGTCAACTACCTAAAAATAATGAGTTACTTATATTCAATCCATAAGATTTTCAACTACACTATTAGTTTAGACTACTACATAAACAATATCACATGGTGCTCCTAAAGTATCAAATAACTACTTATTGTGAATAATATAATAAATCTTTAGCCAAAGAAAATGTTAAGAAAAAATGAATACATTTTGTATATGACCACAAAACAAAAACAAAAAAAAATTAGGCGGGAGAGTGAGGGTGAAAAACTATAGTAATTTTGTTGCACAAAAGTGATTTCTTGCAACCAATTTAAAATATTAGTCGCCAAAAATATAGGCGAGGGGTGAAAAACTAGGTGGGAGAGAATAATCTTTTAGTGACTAATATAATTTAGTTGTAGATATCAAAACGACATCATTTTGATATCTAAATGTACTAACAGACAATGGCTGACCAAATTTAGTTGCTAAATAACGGTGATATTTTTATGGTTACTTGTTGGCAACCAAATAATTTTGTTGGAAAATGTTAAGTTTTAGCGACCAAAAAAAAATTAGTCGTCGTATATTCATTTTTTCCGATAAAAAAAAATTTGTTGCCAAATTAGTACTTTTGGCGACTAATATTGTAGTCGCTGTTGATTGAGATTTGGCTACCAAAAAATTTAGTCGTTACATATAAAGATTTTGCGACAAAAAATGAATTTAGTCGCTAAAGGTGAAATGGTTTTAGAGGGAAATCACTCAATACTTTGTTCAAACCTGTTCTCTATTTGCACCCAACAATTTGTTCAAACCTCTCACACATTCTCCTTCACCACCAAACCTCACCCAACTTGACCTCACCGCAGACCACCGCCACCGGCGCAGATCGCCACGGCCACAGATCGCCACTGTCGTCGATGATCTTCCTCCGTCCTCCGCTGGTGCCTCTCTCTCTCTCTCTCTCTCTCTCTCTCTTTCTCTCTCTCTCTCTCTCTCTCTCCTAAACACCCACCGCCATCGATGATCCTCCTCCATCTCCTCCGCTGGTGCCTCCGCCGGATCCGAGAAGATCGTCGAGATCTGAATTAGATTTGAGTCCCAAGCTAAGATCTGACCGTCGTGAGTGATCCACACATATCTGTCGGCGGCAGTGAAGACGGAGAGACCATGCGTAACAATTGAGATTTGAATCAGATTCGATTTCGCGATCTAAAAATCTCTTAAGCACTCAGATGTCAGTGATTTCTGCTCCAATCAACACCTCTTTCTAAGATCTGAGTCAGATTCGATGGCGGCGAAGAATGCTGGGATTCGGTAAGAAACGGAACCATTGTCATAAACATAGCACTTCATTTTTCTTTGAAATTCCCACACCACTGTTCTTATCTGATTCTCATTCCTCTTTCAATTTTTTCTGAAATCTGATTTTGCACTTTGCTTTTTCAGCTGATAAAACCACGATTTCGACAAAGAAGAACAAGTTAGTCTTCCTACTCTTTGTTTTCTTTCTTTTTTTTTTCCCACTCTGTTTATGTCGAAATGCCCAATGCTAGATTGTTCAGTTTAACATTATAAATCTTTGGTAAAAAAATGCATAGGTGTTCAATCAATCATCAGCGGGAAAAAAGGGGCTTCATTTGAGTTGGGTTTATCAGATCATCATCATCATCATTATCATCTTCATCTTCTGCATCTAAAAAGAGAGAAAAATCAAGTATGTGTTGGTGACAGGCGGCGTAGTTAGCGGTCTTGGGAAAGGTGTGACTGCCAGTAGCTTTGGTGTCATTCTCAAGGCTTGTGGGCTTCATGTTACTTCTATTAAGATTGTTCAGTTTAGTCTTTTTACTCCTTGAATGTGGTTTTTTTGAAAAAAAAATTAGCTCTTTTACACTATTGTTACTTTGAGTTATGTACAGAACTTAGCTGGGTAATTTAGGTTTTCTTCTTGTTGGTAATGTCTTTGAAAGAAGCCTACTTTTGTTTCAACCACCCTTGTGAAATGTTCACGATGTTTTGTCTTTTTACTAGTGCTTCCATTTTTTTTTAATTACAAAACCCAATTTGAGAAAACAACAAGTAGTTATTGCTTACTCACAATTTGCTCTTTCATTCAGATCCTTACTTGAACACTGATGCGGGAACAATGTCCCCTTTTGAGCATAGGCAAGTGTTTGTTCTAGATGATGGTGGAGAGGTACAATTGGTACCCTTTATGTTACTCTTGCGTATCCATTTTTTCATATATTTTTATTGTAATTTCTTATATTTAGTGGGTCGGGTTATTGTTTTCTTGCTATTGCTGGAAGTTCAGACCACTTGAGTTCTCAGTAGGAAGATTTGGTAATTTGAGTTGTCAATTCTATGATATACTGGAAGCTGGGTCACTTTGGTTGTGTTGCATTATTAATTAGTTACTAAGGATCTGCTATGAAATTTGAGTTATTTTATGTCATTACTCTTGATAATATTGGATCAAAGATTTAACTTATACGCACAAAATTTTCCTTGTCTTTATGAATTTCTCCTAAAATTCCATATCCAAATACATTGGAAGTATTATGGTGAGTATGTGATATATGGCAGCTCATAAGTCATGACAAAAATCAAGAATATGTGTGTGTGTGTGTATATATATATATATATATATTAATTAGTTACTAAGGATCTGCTATGAAATTTGAGTTATTTTATGTCATTACTCTTGATAATATTGGATCAAAGATTTAACTTATACGCACAAAATTTTCCTTGTCTTTATGAATTTCTCCTAAAATTCCATATCCAATATTATGGTGAGCATGTTGGTGAGCATGTGATATATGGAAGCTCATAAGTCACGACAAAAATCAAGAATATGTGTGTGTATATATATATATATATAGAGAGAGAGAGAGAAAAGTATGTGCATAAATGGGTATATGTGTATGTACATGACATTAAATCATTTGTAGTAATTAATATCTGCAGCATCAGTTTTTATAAAATAATTTAATTTATTATTATATATTTAAAGAAGGAATAAAATGTACTGCAGTAGTAGAGGAGAGGAGAAGCAAAAATAGATCCACGGATTGAATGTCTACTCTTCATCTCCGACTTGTAGCTGTCCTTAACAGCACAATGATTTAATCATTTTAATGATCCTTTTTTCCTCCTAATTAGTTCTTGAAATTATGGAACTTTTCCATTTAATTGTTTTTGTTGTTTGGCTTTTCTCATAAAAGATCCAGATGCTGAGGTGATTGCACTATCTCCCAAGACCCTAATGGCAACAAACTAGTTCATTTGTGAGGTATGCAACGAAGGTTTCCAAAGGGACTGTGGTACTCTCTTCTCAAGGTAATCACCTATTCATTCTTTTCATTTCCCTGATATCATATGCACAATGACCATCCATTATCATATATATAATGCACATTCATGATTGACAAAGAAATCATGGGAAAAAATTGGTTTTGTTTTTGATTTTGAGAGAACAATCTTTTTAAAAGCCTACTAGTGAATCATCTTCTTCCTCTTCAATCCTTTAGGGAGTTCTGTATCTGTGTGAGAAAAGGCCATGGAAATATCTTTCTCTTTTACTTGATTATTCTACTCCCTTCCCTTGCAATTCTCTCTCTTTGAGGGAACTTCATAGCAATGCTTGTCACAACCCGAACCCGCACCTATGGGTTAAGGCCATAGCCAATCAGTAATCACGAGATTACCTACGGCCTCAAACCAAATAAGACAAAACCCATCAGAGTAAAGGGGCCAAACGGAAGCAAATTTAAAACTTTGTTCATAGAGCCGTGCTTGTATGCCTATCATAACATTCCACATTAACATATGTTAATAACTCACAACAGAAAGTGTTGTAGCATAAGGTTCTGTACAGACAGGATCATTCAACTCTAAGTCGGCCAAACAAAACTATACACAGACGTATACCGAAGTCCTCGCCAACATGACAAAATACACAGAAAGGCAAAAGGGCGAAGACGTGTCACATGCGTGAGACGCAAAGGCTGACTCTTCAAACTTTGGTTGTTCTATACAGACTTCACTGAGGCTGGGTCTGGACCTCTCTTGGCTCACCTACAAACAAATGAATGAGCGTGAGCGAAAGCCCAATGAATAATATCAAATAAAGAATATATATTGGAACAATATACATCAAACGCCCTTGGGCCCAATTTATATTTCTAACTAGTACATACATACATAGACATATGTAAGTTAAGTAACTGCGGTCCCAAACACATCATACGGCCTCGGGCCCAATTCATTAGTATCATTCAAGTCAAACTGTTATTCGTGCCAAACTGTTATTCGTGTCAAACTGTTATTCGTATCAAACCGTTATTCGTGTCAAACTGGCCTCTGGCCAATTCATTCATGTCAAAATGGCCTCTGGCCCATTCATTCGTGTCAAACTGTTCTCTGGCCCAATCATTATGTCAATCGGCCTTCGGCCCAATCATTCATATCAATCGGCCTTCGGCCCAATCATTTATGTCAATCGGCCTTCGGCCCAATCATTTATGTCAATCGGCCTTCGGCCCAATCATTTATGTCAATCGGCCTTCGGCCCAATCATTTATGTCAATCGGCCTTCGGCCCAATCATTTATGTCAATCGGCCTTCGGCCCAATCATTTATGTCAATCGGCCTTCGGCCCAATCATTTATGTCAATCGGCCTTCGGCCCAATCATTTATGTCAATCGGCCTTCGGCCCAATCATTTATGTCAATCGGCCTTCGGCCCAATCATTTATGTCAATCGGCCTTCGGCCCAATCATTTATGTCAATCGGCCTTCGGCCCAATCATTTATGTCAATCGGCCTTCGGCCCAATCATTTATGTCAATCGGCCTTCGGCCCAATCATTTATGTCAATCGGCCTTCGGCCCAATCATTTATGTCAATCGGCCTTCGGCCCAATCATTTATGTCAATCGGCCTTCGGCCCAATCATTTATGTCAATCGGCCTTCGGCCCAATCATTTATGTCAATCGGCCTTCGGCCCAATCATTTATGTCAATCGGCCTTCGGCCCAATCATCTAACATGGTATCAACACCAAATTACAACACAATGAAGCTCAATTTCACAATTTAATCACATGCATGTCTCAAATTAACTCAAACTCATCACCAACACACTAGATTCAAACATGTAAGACTCAAACTCCCATGATTTGCACTTGCATGTGAAATATACACATTATCCCCAACTTAATTGGTGAAGAGATGATCAAATACATGGTCATTAATCAAAACTTAACATGGATTACATACTTTATGCTCAAACATGGAAATTTATGGCAATTTCCTTCATGCATGTGTTCTAAGACTTCAAATTCAACAAAACCAACTCAAATTCATTTCAATTCTTACTCTTGATCATTAATCAACTTTGAATACACAAAATCACACATTAAACTCATGAATTCAAAAATCAATTGCTTACCTAAAAGCCCAATCTTCCCAATCTATGGTTAATTCTTGAGTTTAACTTCAAGACTTCCAAGCTTCAAGACCAAACATAGATTTTCTCCCCTCCCTCTCTCTAATTTCGGGTCTCTCTCCCTCTAGAGAGTTAAATCAGCCAAAAGATGAAGCAATGAGAGGAATTGAGTGTGTATTGCCTTCTTACAACAAAAGTCCAATTTAATAATGATAAATAAATGGGCACTAATTCATCAATTAAATCAATTAATTCTGATCTGAATCAATTTTCAATTAAATTTCACCATAGGCTCTAAAAATTATGCCTATCACAATGGCGTAATAAATTTTGGTTTCGGTGGCCGATAGGACCTTCAATTTAAATTCCAAAGCAGATAATCAAACAGATATTCCTACGGTGAACAGATAGGAGTTCAAAACCACATATTTTCTCATAATGGCACACAAAATCATATTAAACACATAATCATACTCATATTAATGACCAATTAACATATTACGGAACACGGATATCACAGTCTTCCCCCCTTTAGGAAGTTTGGTCCTCTAAACTTATTTTACCTCTAGTCGAAAACAATTCGGAATACCTCTTATTCAACGGTTCCAGTGCTATCCTTTAGATAGTTATTTGCTCGGTCTTAAAATCAAGCAACATTTTGTTCTTAATCAATCAGAGGCTTTCCTTTTCCGCCCTGCAAGGTTTTGCATGGTGCCATACCGATACCAAAGTGCAAGCTGTTGTTGTAAGTAGAGTTTGCCAACAACGAATAGACTTTCCTGTAGGGTTTTATATGATTTGTTTAGTTTAATTTTGTGTTCATTTTGTAAATGGGTTTGGTTGAAGTGGTTTGATTTGTATACATAAATCCCAAATTCAATCACAAAAATTCTAAAACGTTGTGCTTTTGTGTTAGGTATTCTTTTTTTTAAAAAATATTTTTCATCAGCAAATAGAGGATCTTTGTTGGTGCTCTGGTCTGGACAAAGTAAAATCTGTGGGTTTGAGTAGCAACAGTAACATATCAATCTCTTGGGGAGGTTGAGCTCTTGCGATGGTGCTCTAGTCTGGACAAATAGAAGAGAATAGATGAGGGGGATGAGTTGGAGATCCCACTTGGAGGTTTATATTGAAAATTTTTATTATAAATAAATAGTTTTGATTTGATAAATTAGAGTAGTAATATGGTGTGGTGATGTGTTTAATATTGGAGGTGGATTCCCTCTAGTGCTTAAAAAAGTGAGACTAACACCATTTTTGAAACTTGGTGTTTAAATTAAAGAAATTGGAATCTAGAATTTGGAGTTTAATTTGTAAGATTTTCATCAAATTCAAGCTCATTCTATTAAAATAATATAAATCCATTCCCATTAAGATTGAGGAAAGTCAAAGACTCACTAGATTAGGGATTTTTTTACAATCTCTAGTTGTGCAATTATTGTTTTAATCCAATGGTAATAAACTGCACAAGATCATAGTGTCCCTAGTTTTTGTTACTAATGCCAAGAATTTTTTTCAAGCTAAATTATAACCTTCAAAATTTTG